CCCAACGACGTTGCCTACCTTCGGATAAATGCCGCCCCGTCAAAAGATCCTCCAACGGATGCTGTTTGGAATCATAAGACCATTTCTACTATGACCGCCATACCACTAGTTCCGCATTATCAAGGTGGTGTGAATAGTATCTTTACTTATCCCCAGTCGAGGACGCCTCGGATGCCCGACGACGATAAGCCACCAGTAATACACAAGGATAAGATCAACCCTTCATCTTCTTCAGGAGTACCACTCCAATAGCTACGACTAATATCCAAATGTTATTCCCCACAAACTTTAGCAGTTCTCCGCCGGCCCTAAGTGCCAGGCCAAGAACGCTACCCAGCAGCCCAGGAAGACCGGCTGCCATCTTTTTTCCCAAGTCCATCAGCCCATTGCCTAATTTCTTTACGCCCGCGCCTGTAGCCTTAAGCGCGGACAAGATCACGCCTACTATGCTCGAAATAGCGACCGCAAATGCCAGCGGAAGACCATACTTCAAAAGGGCTCTTTTTACCTTTTCCTTGGTAATAAGTCCCAGCTCCTTTTCCAGGTTTTCCTTTTGCGCCCGTAATTCCGCAAGGCGCACCTCTAGATCTTCTGTTTCCCTTTGGGCAGCCTCCCTTTCCTCTTCGGTACGAGTTTGGTCCGCAACTACTTCTCGCTGCCGCTCTATTTGCCCCTCCAGGTCTTCAATAGCCTGATCTCTTTGCCGGATTTGTTCCTCCTTAGTATTAATTTCAGCCATTAACCGCCGCCGCTCCACTAAAGAGTCGGCTATGGTGGTTTGTAGGTCCTTAGCATCGTCTCTAGTTAAGTCTAACTCTTGCAGGGCGAGGTTAAGAGCCCTTTGTGCTTGATTTCTTTCACGCCGAACTCGGGTTCTTTGGTCTACCAGCTCGCTTATTTCTAGGTTTTTGTATTCGACTTCCCTCCTATGTGCGTCGAGAAGCAGTCGGTTTTGCTTCATGTATTCCTCCTCCCTTTCTTCCAATGTTTCTCGTAGCGCTTCCACTGAGTCGCCAGAGTTTTTAGCCTCCTCCAAGTCCCTTTGTGCTTTATCCCTATCGCGCAGAGCTTGATCCAAGTGGTTTTTCATTTCTTTCATTCTTTCGTCTTGATGGGTGAACTTCTATTCAGCATCAGCTAGTAGTTGACTTTGCTTTGCGTATTCTGCGTCTTTTTCTTCTATCTCCTTTTGCAGCTTCTCGGCATGCTTTTCCATTTCAGTTCTTTCGGTTAGGGCTTTTAACCGTTCTAACAGGCTTCTAGTAGCACGCTGGAAGCCCTTTAATCTTAAGACGTCACCCCTAACGTTGCCCTCCTCATCAAAGAGGACTTGTGGTTTAGTCCAGCGGTCTTTGTCGGGATATCTTATGTCTTGAACGCTTATGAGGACTTTGTTTCCGCGCTCCGTGAGCTTTACGTCGTCAGCATCAAAGTTGTCGTAGCGCAGCTCTAGCTCCCGCGCTGCCCACTCTGTGGTTTCCCGCGC